GGTCCGCGCAGCTGGAGTCGGGCCAGCGCCCCCTCCCCCTGGTTTCACCTACCCCGTCCTGTTGAGTCGTGGCCTGCGCGACTGAGCGCCCCCTGCGCTCCTGGCGTTGCAATTTTCTCACGCCTGGCCAAGTTCGCCCTGTTCCGGGCCCCGGGACGCTCGCGGACCGATCGGGCTCGAACGAATGCAGCCCGGGGCTCCGGTCGTGATTCCCAAGATGTTGCAACTTTGCTGTGACGTCGGATCTCAGGGTCGTGGCTTTCCTTCTGAAAGGCGCGTGACGTGTGCGCAGCGCGGGCCACGGCAAGTGTCCCGCGAACACGCTGCGCCTGGCGACTCGCGCCGCGAGCCATCGCATCACAGGACACGAGGCCCCGCGACGACCACGCCCGGCGATGGCACCTCGAGCAGGTGGCCTGTCGCCGAAAGCCTGCCGGTGCTGCGATCTATCCTGAACGATTTGAGCAGGCTCGACTCCTGCGCGGCAACGACCAGCCAGCCAGACCCTCCCGTGCGCGAGTTCGCCGCAGGGTGAACGCAGAAGCCCCGCGGCACCCTGCCACCGATGTACACCAGCTCCACAAGTCTAAGGGTGGGTGTTGCGCCGTCCTCTGGACCCAAGCCTAGGTCGATCACGGATATGGCACCCTCGGCAGCATTCGCACATGCACCATCAAGGGCGACCCCAATTCGATTCCCGACGTACGCGAAGCGTCCGCATGGCGAGAGTTCGATATGCGATGCTGTCGTGGGCGGGCCATCATAACCATCCGGCAGAAGCGACCCAATTGCAGCTGGTGGTCCGATGATGCCTGTGGTTGGATCTGCTGGCAACGCGCAGATCGTATTCCTGAGCTCCGTACAGACGTAAATCCATTTACAGTCACTTGCAATAGCCAAGTGTCGCGGGCCCGACCCTTCTGGAAGAGCAGCCTTTCCAACAACCTGCCCGCCGCCAATTGAAATGCAGAACACCTGGTCTGAGCCGAGATCACAACACAGGCCAAAGTCCGAGTCGCCCAGCTGTACAAAACAGTGGGCGTGAGGACCATCCTGCCGCATCGCAACCGGACCTGCTATGTCAAGCTTCGGAAGCTGCATGGTCATCGTCGCAGGCCCGAGCGAACCATCGGATGCCAAATTGTAAACGCACAGGTCCGCGGACAAATAACTCGCGCAGAGCAAAGCGGCGCCGTCGTGCGTCACGGAGATGAAGCAGGGGTGGTTGCCAGAGACCACCTGCTCATTGATCGGTTCCAGCTTCGCACCAACAAGACTGAATGCCTTGATGCAACCCTGCTTCTCGTTCTCGTTTGTGAAGTACGCGGTGCTTGACTTCGGATTGAATGCCGCGTACGCCGGGTTCACTCCGGCCGCGACGGAGCCATGACTGATGGAAAGACTGCCATCCACGATGTTGAGCAAGACCACGTACGCGCCCTCCTCGGCGTGATTAGTATAATAAGCGCGCGCCTCATGGTTTCTTGTGTAGCAACCCACGAGCAAGGCCACCTTTTCAGTGCAACTCATGGCCTGCACGGTCCTATGAGCAAAAGTGCGGAAAATACAAATCGTGAGCCCAAATGAGTGCGGATAATGAGATGGGGTTAGCAGCAGCAGAGGCAGAGGCAGCAGGAGCAGGATGAGAAGGGTGAGCGAGGGGAGGATGCGGAGGAACAGGAGAAGCAGGAGCAGTAACAATAAATACTTCTCGGGGCGGCGCGTCAGAAAGTGTGATCTGCTTCCAATGAACGACCTGCTGCCCGAGTGCACGGGCCTCGAATCGACCCTTTAGGTTTCAAGTGGACTGCCCTAAGGCTCATGCAGCCCTGAGGGGAGAGGTACAACGTTTCTAGAATCCCACCAGCCCTTTGGGCGTGAGTGGTTTAGGGAGCTCTCTCTGTTCTCAACCCCCCTTCTTCCCCTTCGGGGAGGGGTTTACCCCTCCCCCTACCCCCTCCCCCTGGGCCTGGAGAGGGCGTTCCGCGGGTCGTCAGGGGGGTCATTTTCGACTCCTGGGAGGGCTAAAAAACGACACCCCTCACGAGGATTCTGGCCCCGACGGGGGGGGGGCAGAAAAAACCCTCTCCTCTTCTTTGAAGCCAGAATCATTCATTTTACTACGGTTTTGGCCCCATGTTGGCCTTCTGAGGGGGCAGCGCTCATTACAGCTCTCCTCTTCTTTCAAGGCAAAATCATTGATTGTACGAAGGTTTTGGACCCATTTTGCCCTTCTGAAGGGGCAGCGCTAATTAAAGCTCCCTTCTTCATTGATCGATTTCCTCCAAGATGGCCCCAAGAAGCGCCCAGGAGGCACCAAGAGGCCCCAAGATGGCCCCAAGAGGCCCCCAGGAGGCTCCCAAGAGGCCTCCAAGAGGCCCCCAAGAGGCAAGAGCCCCAAGAGGCCCCCAAGAGGCCCCCAAGAGGCCCCCCCCAAGAGGCCCCAAGAGGCCCCCAAGAGGCCCCCAAGAGGCCCCCAAGAGGCCCCCAAGAGGCCCCCAAGAGGCTCCAAGAGGCCCCCAAGAGGCCCCACGAGGAGCCCGAACGACTCACACCAGGACGAGGGGCCCGAACGACTCACACCACGAAGAGCCCGAACGACTCACACCACAAGGAGGGGCCCGAACGACTCACACCAGGACGAGGCGCCCGAACGACTCACACCACGAGGAGCCCGAACGACTCACACCACGACGCGGGCCCCGAACGACTCACACCACGAGGAGCCCGAACGAGTCACACCAGGAGGAGGGGCCCGAACGACTCACACCAGGATGAGGGGCCCGAACAACTCACACCACGAGAAGCCCGAACGACTCACACCAGGACGAAGAGCCCGAACGACTCACACCACGAAGAGCCCGAACGACTCACACCAGGAAGAAGGGCCCGAACGACTCACACCAGGACGAGAAACCCCAAACGACTCAAATCACGAGGAGCGCTTTCTCTCCCTCCTCCTCCGCCTCGTCCTTCTCCCGCTCCCCCCACAAGGAGGATGTACAAGGAGGCGGGAGGAAGGAGGAACAGGGGAGATATGCGGGGGCAAGCGGACACACGCCTGAAAAACACGACTGTCGGCATGCTTCGCAAGAGTTGCTGTTGTGAGATGGGCTGGTGGGGATACGCGAAGCGTAAAGAATTCTGCCTGGACCCCCGATTTCCCATGCGCTCTGAGGCGCTACTGGGCGCTCCAAGGGATCGGCTGGGCCTCCGGGACGGTATCCCAACCCAAAACGACTGGAAGAATCCCTAAGATTTCCCGATAGGCGCCTAACAGGGTCCAATGGCATCCCGAGACCCGAGATGGCCCCAGAAGGCTCCACGCCAAGAGGCCCTCCGAGAGGGTACGAGAGGCCGCAATCATTACATCTTTGGCCTCTGGTTATTGACGGATTTCAGCGCTCTCGTCTCTTGGTGCTTTCGACGCTCCGAGACGGACCAAGAGGCCTCCAAGATCGCCCCAAGACGGTCCAAGAGGCCTCTTAGAGGGGCCCCAGACGGCCCAAGAGGGGCCCACGACTGTCCAAGAGCCCCCCCAGAACGGCCCAAGAAAGCTGCTCAGGGCGATGAATCGGGCCCTTAGGCAGGGGGGTCGAGAGACCTGGGGGCCCGCGGCTCGAAAAAGCCGAGGCATCGGAAGTCGAGATACCTTGTATATTCTTGTCCTTCTCCTCCTCCTCATCCCCCTCCCCCTCCTCTCTCCCCCTCCTCCTCCTCCTCCTCTCCTCCTCCTCCTTCCTACTCCTCCTTCCTCATCCTCCCCTCCTCAGCTTGCTCCTCCTCCTCTCTCCTCCTAATCCTCCTCCTCCTCTTCCTCTCCCCTCCTTCCTCCTCTCCTCCTCATCTCCTCCTCCCCTCTCCTCCTCCCTCCTTATCCTCCCTGTACATACTCCCTATCGTGGTGCCCCAGCTATGCACTGCTGCACCGCTGCTGCTGCTCATGCTGCTCCTCATCCATGTCATCCTCTTCCTCGCCTCCTCATTCCTCCTCCTACTCCGCCTCTCCGCCTCCTCCTCCTCCTCCTCCTCCTCCTCCTCGACCTCTCACACTCCTCATCTCCTCCTCCTCCTCCTCCCTCCTCCTCTCCGGCCTCCTCTCTCCTCCTCCTCCTCCTACCTCTCTCTCCTCACTCCTCCTCCTCCTCCTCTCCTCCTCCTCCTCCTCGCTCCTCCTCCTCCTCATCTCCTCCCTCCTCCTCTCCTCCTCTCCTCCTCATCCTCCTTCTCCTCTCCCCCTCCTCCTCCTCCTCTCCTCCGCCTCCTCCTCTCCTCCTCTCCTCGTACTCCTCCTCCTCCCCTCCTCCTCCTCTTCCTCCTCCCCTCCTCCTCCTCCTCCTCCTCCTCCTCTCCTCCTCCTCCTCCCCCCCTCCTCCCCTCCTCCTCCTCGTCCTCCTACTCTCCTCCTCCCCTCCTCCTCCTCCTCCTCTCCCTCACTCCTCCTCTCCTTCCTCCCTCCTCCTCCTCTCCTCCCCTCCTCCTCCTCCTCCTCCTCCTCCCTCCCTCCCTCCCTCCCTCCACTCCCTCCTCCCTCCCTCCCTCCCTCCCTCCCTACCTCCCTCCCTCCCTCCCTCCCTCCCTCCCTCCCTCCCTCCCTCCCTCCCTCCCTCCCCTCCCCCTCCCTCCTCCTCCTCTCATCCTCCACCTCCTCATCCTCCTCCTCATCCTCCTCCTCCTCCTCCTCCTCCTCCTCCTCCTCCTCCTCCTCCTCCTCCTCATGATTCCCCTCCCCATGTTTCACTCATGCTCCTCCGCGTCCCCTCTCGTGACAAGTCGCCCGCGGGTCGTCTCTGGCTGGGGTGGCGGGGATGCGCGAAGCGTCAACAAAAATTGGCCCAGGGCGTCGCCTCAGTTTGGGGGGTGCCTTGTTTTCGAGGCGGTCGCCCACGAAGGTCCATGTGGACAGGCGCTGGGTCGGCCGCAAGAAGACCAGGGCTCCGCACCTGCTGGGGCCGCACGCTCCCAACGGCCGCGGGCCGGCGAGGAACTGAGTCAGCGGCGAAGCTGTAGATCGTCGAGTAGTTCGCCACCAGGTCCGTGAGCGGGTTCGTCTCCAGCGCCACGTTCGAGGCGGCCACGCGAAAGGCGTAGTAGTAGCCCGTCGTAAGGCCCGTCACCGTGCACGAGGTGGCGGTGATGTCGATCCCGCCGGTTGCATCTGGGTGGGGTGGCCCGTGACTGCACTGAAACAGATACATAAGTCCAGCTGTGAGAGATCTAGGGACACGTTTGAGGACAACCCCTGGGGTTCCTGAGGGGTCCCAAGGCTTCTGCGGGTCCCCAAGGCCATCGGGTAACAAGAATCCAACCAGCCCTCTGGGCGTAGGTGGTCTAGGGAGGCTCCTCTTCCAACCCCCTTGTTTCCCCCTCGGGGAAGGGTTACCACTGTTTCCTATTAATATACACCCCCCCCAGGCGCAATGATAACCCAATGAGGGCCATCCCCCACCATACCTGTCAAGCAACAATACAAAATACACTTTGGGGCAACGTCGGGAGTCAGGCTCGTGAGGCCCACGATTGTTTTTGACAGGGACGGCGGGGGTGTCAGCACCTGCTGCGCGCAGGCCCACCATCCCTAACAACAGACAATACACAATGCACCTCGCGGCTAAATCTAGATCATGCGCGGCCACGCCGCGATCACTGTCAAGTGGAGGCACTTGGCATGCTGTGAGCAGGCCCACCAGACACAATGATGGACACTGGTCTTCGACATGGGTGGGGGCCGACATGTTTTTCGATGTGTGCTCTCACGTGCGCAGGCGCACCTGACACACTCTGCATGTGCCCAGAACGTGGCGCACCTGCCATCGGGTGACAAGAATTCAACCAGCCCTCTGGGCGTAGGTGGTCTAGGGAGGCTCCTCTTCCAACCCCCTTGTTCCCCCTCGGGGAAGGGTTACCACTGTTTCCTATTAATATACACCCCCCCCCGGCGCAATGATAACCCAATGGGGGCCATCCCCCACCATACCTGTCAAGCAACAATACAAAATACACTTTGGGGCAACGTCGGGAGTCAGGCTCGTGAGGCCCACGATTGTTTTTGACAGGGACGGCGGGGGTGTCAGCACCTGCTGCGCGCAGGCCCACCATCCCTAACAACAGACAATACACAATGCACCTCGCGGCTAAATCTAGATCATGCGCGGCCACGCCGCGATCACTGTCAAGTGGAGGCACTTGGCATGCTGTGAGCAGGCCCACCAGACACAATGATGGACACTGGTCTTCGACATGGGTGGGGGGCCGACACGTTTTCCGATGTGTGCTCTCACGTGCGCAGGCGCACCTGACACACTCTGCACGTGCCCAGAACGTGGCGCACCTGGCGCGGCTGGAGTCTGCGGCGCACCTGGCGCACGCGGAGGCACGTGGCGCATCTGGCGCACCAAGCGTGCCTGGCACGCTCGGGCCCCAGGGGTTCCTGGCGCGCGTGGCGCGCCTGGCACGCGTGGCGCACCTCGCCGCAGCGTCGCGCACATGGGCTCGGTGTTGGTTTTAGCTATCCATCCAAAGACGACCGATGCACATGCAGAGGCTTGGGTGTCACTTATGTGTTGGGATGGCGGTTGGGAGTGAGCTAGACGGCTTGCTATCAGGAGTTGGCCTTGACCCCTCCCCCAGTTCCCCTACCCCCTTCCCTGGACCTGGACGGGGGGCCCCGCGAGCGGTCAGAGCATCTAAGATGGCCCAAGACGGCTCCAAGAGGGCCCCAGAGAACCCAGGATGACTTCCAAGACGGCGCAAGATAGCCCGAGATGGCTCAATATGGTTCCCAAAATGCTCCAAGAACCCCAAGACCGCTGAAAAGACGGCTCCAAGTGGTCACGGAGCCTCCCCAGGAGGTCGCCAAGAGGCCAAAATCCGATCAAATCTTAAGGAAAGTCAATGAATGTCGCTCTCTCGCTTTTTGCTGTTGATGGTCTTCCGAGGTCCCAAGATGGCTTCACGATGGCCCAAGAGGTCACCAAGAGAGGCCCAAGAACCCCAAGACTGCCTTAAGAGCGCCCAAGAGCGCCCCAAAAGCGCCCCAAGAGAAGCCCAACTGGCGACTTGTGATGCTCCTGAGGGGGGGGGGGGCGTAATGAAAGCACCCCAGGAGGCCACAGGAGCGCCAGGAGGCCTCGGAAGGCAACAGGATGCCCCGAGAGGCCCCAGGAGCAGGAGGCCTTAGAAGGCAACAGGAGTGGCTCCAATCCCATGTGTTTTACGTATGCTCCTATAGATTGGGCCTCACCTAGAGCACGATTCCTTGATGTTCTACGTATGTTATATATATATATATATATATATATATAATATATATATATATATATATATATGTTGTCCTTCTCCTGTGTGCACAATCCTAAATGTTTTACTTATGTTCCTATATGTTGGGGCTCTCCTGGGGCACGAGTCCCTGGTGTTTTACGTGTGTTCCTATAAATTGCCATTCTCCTGTGGCTCCAATCCGCCATGTTTTATGTACGTCTGTTGCTATAGATTGGGCCTCTCCTGGAGCACGAACCCGCCCTAGGAGGTCCCAGGAGGCCCCAGGAGGCCCCAAGAGGCTCCCGGAGGCCCCAGGAAGCCCCGGTAGGTTCCAGGAGGCCCCAAGGCTCATGCGAGAGACGCGCTCGTACTACTGAGGCTCATTCACACTCCAATTCATTCGCAGTTAGATTCATGACCAGACCGTCACAACTGAAGCCCGTTTATATTCGAAAGATCTTGCGCCTGGACATTCACGGCGGACAGGTCCATGCGAATAGATGCACATACGGGGAGCTGCACGCAGTGATTCATTCTATAGCGGGGTCCGTTATTCCCGTTCCCAGATCTCCCGCCCAATGAAATCTTGCAAACACCTCCTCCGAAGAATTTCAACATATCCCGCCTCGAAAACGCATGCCCGCGCCCTGCTGCGCCGATGCGAGACTGCCAGTGGAGCCTCAGCCAAGGGTAAAGCTCAAGGAAGTATCAAGCGACAGGATTGCCTTGGTGGAGATGGTGGCTGTCGGCGGCGAGGCAAGGACCTGACCCTGAATAGAAAGGGAGGAAGTCTCGAGCAGGGCCGCTGTTGTTGTTGGGGGCGGCGCAAATGCAGAAGCGACTAGGGCGCTAGTCCAGCGTAAAACAATTACCCTGGCGACGTACCCAACCCCTGCGCAAAAGCGGGGCGCAAATAGTTTAGGATACTTTATAAGGGGGCGATGACGGAGCGAGGGTTACATATGTCTGCAGACGGGATTCGGGAGACTCGCAGGACACTGGCTACAGGAAAAGTGCTTGATAAAGCTGATGATTTACAATTCCTGAGCACTCCTAGCCACTTCGAAAACGGGGATCACAGCAGGCCTCGAAAGTGGCGACAGGTTCACAGATCGCAGCCCCGCAGGGACGGCGAGGTCTCATTTGAATCTGCCCGTGGCCCTCACTGTGCTGGGCCCCCCAGCAGGCCTCGAAAATGGCGGCAGTTTCGCAGATCGCAGCCCCCCAGGGATGGCGAGGTCTAATTTGAATCCGCGCGTGGCCCTCACTGTGCTGGGCCCCCCAGCAGGCCTCGAAAGTGGCGACAGTTTCACAGATCGCAGCCCCCCAGGGAGGGCGAGGTCTAATTTGGATCTGCCGCGATTACCCTCTATGCTGGACCCCCCAGCAGGCCTCGAAAGTGGCGACAGTTTCACAGATCGCAGCCCCCCCCCCCCAGGGATGGCGAGGTCTAATTTGAATCTGCCGCGATTACCCTCTATGCTGAGCCCCCCAGCAGGCCTCGAAAGTGGCGACAGTTTCACAGATCGCAGCCCCCCAGGAATGGCGAGGTCTAATTTGGATCTGCCGCGATTACCCTCTATGCTGGACCCCCCAGCAGGCCTCGAAACTGGCGACAGTTTCACAGCCCCCCGCAGGCAAGACAGAAAGAGGCAGGAAAGAGGCGGGAGGCGGGAGGAGGAAGGACGCGACCACACTGCTCTATTCAAAACGAATACCCAAGCAAGGAGGGTTGGGAAAACGAAGTCTCGAGCGGGAGCGCTGGTTCTGTTGGGACGGCGGTTGTCGGCGGCGAGGAGGAACACCACCTTGAGTAAGAATGGAGGAAGTCTCGAGCGGGAGCCGTGGTTCTGTCGGGACTGGGGCTGTCGGCGGCGAGGAACAGCACCGTCCTGAGGAAAAAGGAAGGACACCTCGAGCGGGAGCGTTGTTTTTGCTGGGACCGGCGACGATTCAAAAGCAAGTAAGGCGCCAACCCAGCGTAAAACAGGAGGAAGTTTCGGGTGGGAGCGATGGTTTTGTCGGGACGGCGGTTTTCGGCGGCGAGCAAAAGCACCGAGCTGAGTAACAAAAACGAGGAAGTCTCGAGCGGGAACGTCGTTGTTGTTGTTGTTGTTGTTGTTGTTGTTGTTGTTGTTGTTGTTGTTGTTGTTGTTGAATATTATTACTTCTAAAGAATAATTATTGTTGGGCCCCCTGGTGCACGCCCCCCTCGCCGCGCCTAGGCCGCAGCCACATTTTCATCACTTTCGTGAGGAAGTCTCAGGCAAAACGGGGGAGTCCGGATCCGGTTGTTTTGTTGACGCCCGCTTTCCCTGCAAAAAACAATATAAAATGACATGTCTTGTTCTAACATAACCAAACTTCAAGAATCCTTTTGCAAAAAATGACACGAAGTGCACACTCGCGCGCGCAAGATGAAATCCTTCCAAAACCTTAGTTTTCGTAGCGATTTTAACATAAAAACAAAAATGGTTTTTCGTCAAAATTTCATCCCGCGCGCTCTTGCGGATTCGTAGGAAACCCAACACTTTTTAAACATTTCTGTCAAACGGGCTTTTGCGAGCAACTTTTTCGAACTTCTGCAACAACGGTTGCGCACCTGCCAGGGCCATCATCCCTGTCAAATAATACCATGCGGGACACATTCGTTTTTTCTTCGCGCGCGCACGCCGTCGTCGTCGGCCGCGGGGCCCTGAATAGTAGCCACGGTCGTCCGCATGCCACGAAGTGAAGTGTCCGAACGTCATAGGGCGGGAAGCTGGGTGTGGGTGGTGGCGAAGAGTCGTTTGGAAATTTGGTAGAGCTTGAACCGGCCCCCCCACAAAGTGGGGGTATTGCCCGCCTCCTATGAAAACCCTGGCACTGGTGAGAACGGAGTGTCCCCACGTGCTAGTAATTGTTGTTGTTGTTGTTGTTGTTGTTGTTGTTGTTGTTGTTGCTGGGGGCGGCGCCGATGAGTGAAAGAGTAGCGCGCCAGTCCAAGGCAACAAAAAAGGACGTCTCGAGCGGGAGCGTTGGTTTTGTTGGGGCGGCGGTTTTCGGCGGCGAGAAAGAGCACCTTCCTGAGGAACAAAAAAAAGGAAGCCTCGAGTGGGAGCGTTGTTCTTCCTGGGGGCGGCGCCAATTGAAAAAAAAGAAGTAAGGCGCCAGTCCAGCGTAAAACGGGAGGAAGTCTCGGGCGGGAGCGCTGGTTTTGTCGGGACGGCGGTTTTCGGCGGCGAGCAAAAGCACCGCCTTGAGTAAAAATGGGAGGAAGTCTCGAGCGGGAACGTTGTTGTTGTTGTTGTTGTTGCTGGGGGCGGCGCCGGGGAGAGAAAGAGTAGCGCGTCAGTCCAAGGTCAAACAAAAGAGGATGTCTCGAGCGGTAGCGCTGCTGTTTTTTGGGGGACGGCAGCTTTCGGCGGCGAGCAGGAGCACCGTCCTGACGAACAAAAACAAAAGGAAGCCTCGCGGGGGGGGGAGCGCTGTTCTTTCTGGGAGCTGCGCCAATTCAAAAGAGAGTAGGGCGCCAGTCCAGCGTAAAACTGGAGGAAGTCTCGGGCGGGAGCGCTGGTTTTGTCGGGACGGCGGTTCTCGGCGGCAAGGAACAGCACCGGCCCTGAGTGAAAAAGGAGGACGTCTCGAGCGGGAGCGTTGTTGTCGGGGGGCCCGTTTTGGCGCCCCCACAAACCGCTCGAGCGTGAGCCTCATTTTCGATGAAATGTAGCCGGCGCCGAGGCGAGAGCGCCAAAGCGTCGGGGGAGGTCCAACAATAATACTTGTTTCATAATTAACATTCAACAACCATAGCAACAACAATCATTTTACCCTCATGCGCGATGCTTCCACACGCAGCATGCGACCACCATGCTTTCCATCCCCACCATGGGGGATTACTGTTCTATCGCGGGGGTCCGTTATTCCCGTTCCCAGATCTCCCGCCCAATGAGGTCTTGCAAACACCTCCTCCGAGGGATTTCAACATATCCCGCATCGCAAACACATGCCCGCGCCTTGCTGCGCCAATGCGAGGCCGCCAGTGGAACCCCAGCCAATGGTAGAGCACAAGGAAGTATCGAGCGATAAGATTGGCTTAGTGGGGATGGGGGTTGTCGGCGGCGAGGCAAGGACCTGGCCCTGAATACACAGAGGGGAAGTCTCGAGCAGGGGTGTCGTTGTTGTTGGGAGCGGCGCCGAGGCAGAAGAGAGAAGGGCGCTAGTCCAGCGTGAAACAACACGAAAACTCGAGCGGGAGCGCTGGTTCTGTTGGGACGGCGGTTGTCGGCGGCGAGGGGGAACACCGCGTTGAGTAAGAAGGGAAGAAGTCTCGAGCGGGAACCGCGGTTTTGTTGGGACAGGGGGCTGTCGGCGCCGAGGAACAGCACCGCAACACTGTACTTAATGGGTGGGGGAACCGCATGCAAGTGCAGCCACTGGGGCCTTTGGTGGAGCTCCCTATGGGGGGCGCGAAGCGCTGTACTGAGTAGGGGGAAGGCACGCGAGAGCAGCCACTGGGGCCTTCGACGGAGCTCCCTTCGGGGCCACAAGACGCTGTAGTGGGTGGGTGTCCCGCGTGCGAGAGCAATCACTGGGGCCTTCGGTGGAGCTCTCTATGGGCACGAAACGCTATACTGGATGGGGGTCCCGCGTGCGAGAGCAGCCACTGTTTTTTGTGTTCGTCGGGGCTCCCGCTGGGGCCATGAAGCGCTGTACTGGGCGGCTGTCCCGCGTGGGAGAGCAGCCACTGGGGTATTCGATGGAGTTCCCTATCGGGCCACGAAGCGCTGAACTGGGTGGGAGCCTCGCATGCGAGAGCAGCCACTGGGGCCTTCGGTGGAGCTTCCTGCGGGCCACGAAGCGTTGTATTGGGTGTAGGTCCCGCGTGCGAGAGCAGCCACTGGGGTTCTTCGGTGGAGCTCTCCATAGAATGCCGAAACGCTGTACTGGGCGGGGGTCCTGCATGCGAGAGCAGACAATGGGGCCTTCGGTGGAGCTCCCCATGGGGCCACGAAGCGCTGTACTGGGCGGGGGTCCCGCATACGTGATCAGACACTGGGGCATTCGGTTGAGCTCCCTATGGGGCCACGAAAGGCTGTACTGGGGAGGTCGCGCGTGCGAGATCAGCCGTTGACGTCTTCAGTGGAGCTCCCTATGGGGCCACGAAGCGCTGTACTGAATGGTGTCCCGCGTGCGAGAGCAGCCACTGAGGCCTTCGGTGGAGCTCCCATATGGTGCCACGAAGCGCTGTTTTTGGAGGTAAAGATGCATACCTATGGGTCCACAGCACGCTGTACAGCGTGGGGGGGCCGCGTGCGAGAGCAGCAACTGGGGCCTTCGGTGGAGCTCCCTTTCGGGCCACGAACTGCTGTACTTGGTGGGGGCACGCATACTGATGAGGGCAGAGGCAACGAGGGGGAGGAGGATGAGGAGGAGGAGTGGAGGGAGAAAAGGAGAGGAGACGCGGGGACTGTCTCTTCAAAGCGAGGACACAACAACAGGCTGTTCGGGAAAAGGAGATCGAAAGAGATAGACAAGGAGAGAGCAGAGCAATACCCGCGGGAAGGGCTCGACAGGGCACGCAAGCACCAGGTGCTGCAAAGAGCGCCAAGTGGGTCTCCTATGAAGTCGGAGCCGCCAAGGCCGTCGTTGCGCTCCACGACGTACTTGGAGACTGCCAGGCCCCCGTCGTATAGCGGCGGCGACCAGTCCAGGGTGGCCGTCGTTGTGGTACCAGAGCTGCGGGCACGGGGAAAGAGGCGGGGCAGCAGGCTCCATATCCAAGAAGGCAGCTCCTGGGAGGTCTTCATCAAAACGAGTAATCGCTAGCAGGTCCCATTAAGAGGCCAGTGAGCCAAATCAGGACGGATCAAGCCCGTCCGAGACTAAGCCGGGTTAGCGAGGAATGAACAGCAGTGGGCGGGATCGAACCAGATTAGGCAAGTTCTCAACCAGGGAAAAAGCAGCGCCGATTCAGAATTAACCTCCCAGATCTCGCCCCCTATCATCCAACGTGTCCCCAGAATCCGCTGTGCTTTGAAGTGCTGGGAGGCCTACGAGGTGTTTCCTAATTGAGCACTGCGAGGCCGAAGAGGTGACGAGCGATACGAGAACCTCTGGCGTCACAAAAACATCTCGGACGAGAGCGAAAGAAAATTGCAGAGGCACGCAACAATTGCGCATCGAAGCGTCCCGGTTTTCTTACCTACGTGAAATCCTAACAATCTGGGCTACCAAGGCGCATCTTAAGCGAGGGGCGTTAAGTAGGGCCTTTCGGGAACTGCTCCTATCAACGATACCGCGCCCGACAAACAGAATTCCCCAGTATGCAGCGCTCAAGTATGCTCAAGCATGCACATGAAGGGCATGTCCCTCGTCATACTGTGATGAGACTTCGGAAGCCCCAATCGCCCGAGACTTCCTCGAAGAGAGACCCGAGTCCCCAAACCGTGCGGTCACCCCGAGTCCGCACAGACTCACCACACGGTATGGTCGACGCACCGTTGTGGGGCCCCTGACGGGAGAGGCAGGAGAGAAACAGCCCGGGAAAGGGAGGAGGGGCCGGCAAGGGGGACACCAGGGCGGATCCAGAGACCCAGAGACCCCGGCGGGCACCCTGGAAGTCCCGACCCTTTCCCCAGGGCCAGCTTTTCATCCCTGATCTTTTTCTGACGGCCCCGGCGCCCTGCGAGGGCCTCCGGAGGCCGAGAACAACGAAGTACCCCGCCCATGATTTTTTCAAGACGTTGGGGGTCTGGGGAAGCACCAGGGCGAAGCAGCAGGGGGAGCCCACGCCTGCGGACAAAGTCCTGCACGGCCCACGGAGCCGACGCGGCGATCACGTAGTGCACCGTGGAGAACAGCCCCACGAAGGAGTCGTCCACCTCCGGGCAGAACGGCTCAGGCACCAGCGCAGGACTGCGGCTGAGGCCCATGAGACGCTGGCGCTGTCGATCCCCAGATCTCTGGCGATGCGACTTTTTCAATGCGGGCGTTTTGCCTCGACTTCGGCGGGGGCCCGCGACTGGGCCCAAGGGACCATCCAGCGCACCCCTGCGGCCGAAGACCCTATGCAACTTCACGCTGTGGCGGAGAGGGGGTCGTAGACGGAGACACCTCGAGTGATCATGGAGACAACAGGAAACAACGGGAGACAGCAGGAGACAGTCGGAAACCCGACGGATTCCAGGTCCGGGTCCGCCGGTGCTCGGCTTCCTAGAATCAAGATTTTACTTGTTTCCAACAACATGCCTGAACCCTTCCCCGGGGAACTCAAAACTGTCCCTGGGGAAGGGCTTCAGACTTCGAAGGCCGCGGATCGACAAAGCCACATCGTCGGATGCCTGGGGCTGGCGCTGGCCGATGGCCGCTCATGTTCGCTCTTGCTCGCTGGCCAGGGCACCGGAGGGGAGAGGGCCCCCCAGGAGGCCCCAAAACAGGCGAAGACGAGGCATGGGTGTCGGTCTGGGCACGTCTTCCTCCTCCGAGGCAAAACCCCCAAACGGACGCGCTGCTGACCAAGACCTGGGCGTCGTGATTGTTTCACAACGTCGACCCCCAAAGGCCTGGAGCCCTTCCCCGGACCGGTGTTTCCGTTAAGGGCCCCCAGAAATCGAAAACACGGGGCGGCGCAGGGGTGCAAAAAAGCATCTTCTCGGACACACAACAGCATCAGGGCCCCAGAAGCAGACATGACAAACCAGGGCTTCGAAAATCCCGCCTGGAAAGGAGCATCTGTACCAGATCAGTTCCACTCGCCGCGATTACTGCCGAGCGATCTGCACATGGCATGGGGACGACGAGGACGAGGACGGGGAGGAGGGGGGATGGGGAGGGGAGTATAGGTGGCGGACGAGGTGGACGGGAGCGGGAGAGAGGACGATCGGGAGGGGGGGGCAACGTGAGGTGGAAGAAAAGTTGACGCCCCTCCGGGGGATCCATGCTGCCGACACATACCGCCAGATGGAGCGCACAAAGGAGAACGAATGTCTGAACGTTTGACTTGGTATGGCCGCCTCCGGAAATCCTCAAGCCAAACATGCTTAGGACTCACTCATACTTCCGCCGCCTGGCGCCGAGGCCCAGACCCCCGACGTCGTGACTTGTACACGTGGACCCCCAGAGGTCTTGACCCATTCCCTGGGACTGGATGTGCATCCTGAGATGTTGTTTTCACGGTCCTGGGGCACGGCGAGGGCCCCCCAGAGGCCGAAAGCATTTGAAGAAGGAACCCTTGCGGCGGAAAAAGCATACACAGCTTTAGACAGTTACGATAGGGGCCACGATGGCGGGATCGGGATACGGATAGAGGCTATAATATCAGGTCATAGATATGGGTAGAAGGGTATTGGGATAGACATCGGATGGGAATGGGGGTATAGGAGAAGGACAACATGGATTGGGATAGAAGGATAGGGATAAGGATAGGGGCGGCAAAGCGATGAAATAGGCAACAACGGGAAGCAACGGGAGGTCACGGGAGGTAACGGGAGGCAACGGGAGGCCACGGGATCCGGGAGTCAACGGGAAGCAACGGGAGGCAACGGGAGACAACGGGAGACAATCGGAGACAACGAGGGGCAATTGACGACCACTTTGTCTGGCCGACTCCGGACATGTATATATGTGAGAGAGCGTGATCCACCGCCGCTTTGCTATGGAAAATTATTCCCCCTCTTCCTTCGAAACCTGGGGTCCCCCCCCCCCGAAAATCCCCCCCCCCCCGCTCGAACCCCTCCCCCCCCTTTCCCTGGCAACCCCCCCAACCCCCCCGTCCGGAAAGCCGGGGGGGGGTCACTACCGGTTCAATTCCCCCCCCTCCAGAAAACCCGCCGGGGCCGGTCACTACCGGTTCGAACCTCCGCCTCCCTCTGGAAAACCGATTGGGGCTACACAACCGGTTCAAACATCCCCCCACTCGCCGCCGGCAAACAACTCCCAGGTCCCCACCGCCGTCCTCACCACCGCCCTCACCACTGTCCCCGCCACCGCCGTTCCCACCACTGTCGGATCCTACTGTCCCCACTGTCCCCACCACTGTCCCACTGACCCCACTGTGCCCACCACTGCCCCCACTGTCCCCACCAGTGTCCCCACCACTGTCGCACTGTCCTCACTGTCCCCACTGTCCCCACCACGGTCCCACTCTCCCCAGTACCCCCACTGTTCCCACCAATGTCCCACTGTCCTCAGTGTTCCCACCACTGTCCCAGTGTCCCCACCGCTGTCCCACTGTGCTGTCCCATTGTCCCCACTGTTCCCACCACTGTCCCTCTGTCCCCGCTGTCCCCACCACTGTCCACCGTCCTCACCACCGCCCTCACCACTGTCCCCACCACCTCCGTCCCCACCACTGTCCCACTGTCCCCACTGTCCCCGCCACTG